GGGACAGGGTCTCCCTACGCAGTTCAGACTGGCCTTCAGCTCACTTTGTAATCCAGGCTGGTCTCGAACTCGCAACAATCCTCCTGCCTCAGCCTCCTGAGTGCTGGGATTACAGGCATGCGCCACCACGCCCGGCTCCACTTTTTCGACTGGGATTCTCTTTTTGTCGTTATTATAGCTTTGTTCTTTTATATTCTGGACACAAGTTCCTGATCTGATACATGATTTGCAAGTATTTCTGTTTCCATGGATGTTACCTTTTTATCTTTCTGATGATGTTTTTGATTAGGACTTGTCTTAGAAGGGCCCCTGAGAGCCATCCTTGAATTTCACAGCTGTGAGAGGGTGTCAATTACTCTGTTTAGCTTTTTAGCCTCCTAAGTTGCTTTCTGCTTGTTTTCCAAGTGTGTCACTCCATATGTGTACAGTTGGGGAGTTGGCAGACATCTTCTGGGAGAAAAGCATGCACATTTTTTAGACAGGCACTTCTTTGTTTATTCCTTTTCAGAATCACATCATCTCAAGCCTGGGCTACTTTTACAATCCCAAACGCTTAATCCTTGTTTTCCTAACCTAGCAGAATACTGCGGGTTCAGTGCCGTTCCCATGCTGTTGTGTTCTTTTTTGCCATGATTCCACTTTCATGGGAATAGCAAATGCATGCTTTGCACACAAAATAAATATACAGTACATACATATAAACATAGATTCTTGTTTCCTCTTCTTTCTTACCCAATACATACTACATCTCTATGAGTGTAAGTGTGTGTGGTGCACATGCGTGTGTGGTTTTTTCTGAGACAGTCTTGCTGTGTATTGCCCAGTGTGGTCTTGAATGCTTACGTCAAGCTGCCCTCCTGCCTCAGTCTCTATAGTAGTTGGTGGACATCCCCACTCCTGACTCAATATCTTTATGCATCTTACTGTTTTCAACTCATACATCTTGAAAATCACTCCATATACAGTATATTCTCAGAAATCTTTTTTGTGTGTGTGAGGACATAAGACTTCATTGCTTAGATTGGTAAGTATTTTAACATTGGTTTATTGGTAGTGTGCATGCAGTCTTCATTCTATGATTTCTAAGAATTTCGATTATGGAGCTATGACAGTAATACCTTGATTCACAAACGCTTTTGTTTGCAAACAACTTGATTTGCAAACAGAAGTGGCAAAATTTGGCTTCTGCTTGCAAGCTCTGCATTGGGTGACAAACCGACCATGGCCATCTTCCCATGCAGACAAAGGCAGAGCTTATCCTCCACATCGTAAAACAAATGAAGTTTGTAAACTGTGGTACCACTGTATTTGCTTTTTTTAAAAAATATTCTTTCCCTATAGTTAAAAAAACGTGGTACTTGATAAATTACCTTAGAATAGGAGAAGTCTGTAATCTTCCTGGGGATACATGGTCTCTTAAGGTATTCTTGTTAGTAACGATGCTGGAATTTTATGGCTTCCAGGCTTCTAAATTTTGCCCTAATGGTATCATAAGTTAAGAAATCATCTGGCTTGCAAAAATCCAGCAGTACTTGGACTTCTGTTCAAGTTGGGTGAGAAAAGCTTTCCCAAATTTTCCTAGCTTGAGTTTACAGTAACCTTCCAGCTCTACCACCAATTAACACTGGAACCGTCTGCATCACTGTGGAATTACTAGTGAGAAACAGTTTGTCCTTGTAACCTTTTAATCTGTCCTGAAAGAGTTGCTATTCTAAATAAGCTAAAATTTCAGACTTCAGAACATTGCAGACCTCGAAATTCTGTTTCAAGTTTTTATGAACCAGATAGGCCCCCAAAATGTTGGTACTCATCTTTTTTCAGAGTCCTTCACTGAAGTTTTAACTGGATCGATGGCCTAACTCAGTAAACATTTCAGGTTCCAACGTGATCTCTGTCCCAAATACTGAACATTGTGATTGCATTGTGAAAGCAGCCCCATGCGGTCCTAAACAAATGAGGGCCTCTGTGTTCCAATAGAACGCTTTACCAAGAAAAGGTACAGGCTTTGGTTCATAGGCTATAGTTTGCTAACCCCCGTTCTAATTCAGTTAACGAGAAAGGAAAAAATGGGAAGTCATTTATGGGATATATTCAAAATCATACTTTGAGAACGTCAAATCTGTTCTCTTTTTAGAGGGTTCATGTTAAACACTGAATAATATTTCAAAATTTAATGTAACTCATTTCTGTTTTCTTGCTGTAGTACAGAAAAAATATTTAGGATAAAATTAAGCATTGTATATTGTCTGAAATGTAAAACAAAATGCGCCAGCCTGCCTACTGTAAGTATAAGCTCAGTGGTATTAACCTTTGTAGTGTTGAACAGCCATCACTGTCATCCACCTCATCTTTCCAACTTGTGAAACTGAAGCTTTTCCCGAGATACCTGTTAAACAGTTACTCTCCGTTTCCCCCTTTCCCCAGCCCCAGCAGCTACCATTCTTCTCTCTTTATGATTTTGGCCATGCTAACTGCGTAATATAAATAGAATTGTAAATTATTTATCTTTATGTGATAGGCTTGGCTTGATGTTTTTAAGATTTGTCTCTGTTAGAACATGTGTCAGAATTTCCGTCCTTTAAGACTGGATCATTTCATTGTATATACATTCTGCTTGTCTGTGCATCAGATGGCACACTCGGGCTGCTGCTGCATTTTAGGTAGTGTGATAATTTTGCTGTGAATGTGGACGTACAAACGTCTGAGATCTTGTTTTCAGATCATTTGTTGCTTGTTTGGATGGTCTTAGTCACAGCATAGCTATACTAAAAATTACATAAAATTACTACTGGGCTATGAATGTAAGGTGTGTATTTAAATGAATGAATTTCATGTTTAGATCGGGTCTCCTACCTGTCTGTTGCTATGTATATGTTCTGAAGTCTGAAATACTCTTGACTCTCCACATGTCAGATAGAGACTCAACATGTGTTTAGTTTACATAAACAAAAACATGTAAATGTATGTAATATATAATAATTACATTCATCTTAGGGAATTGGTACATATACATATCATCTTAATTATGCAAGTTTGAATATATATTGTTTTATAAGGTTGCTAAGCATAATAGCTTGTTTCCTAAGAAAAAATGTACTTACTGTGGTGCTAGAGATGAACCTAAGGCCTTTTTGCATGCTAGGCAAGGCCTCCACTGTTGAGCTTTATACATTGGTACCCTCCTCTTCTTTAAAAAATGTAGGGGTTGAGTTTTTTGTGGGGAGGGTTTGAGGCAGGGTCTCTCTCTGTAGGTCAAGGCCTTGAACTCACTATGCAGTCTCTAGTGTGGCTTCACATGTGCAGCAGTCCTCCTGCCTCACCCTCCCCAGTGCTGGCATTACAGGTGTGCACCACCACAACCAGCAAAAATGTCTTTCTTGAAGTCAAAATTTTAAATCGATTTTAAATAATGTATGCGTTTAAGCCTTATGAAATAACTTGAATTACAAAAGAGTTTCATGCCTTGGCATTTTTTGAATTACAGAATATATTTCTAAAGGTTCTTTGGAGTTAAACATGAGGTATATGCTAATTTTGAGAAATTGAACTAATGAGAATCTTTGCTAACATTTTGGCTTCTTTTGATAAGAATAATTGGAATTAATCATTTTGGGGGTGTGGGGTAATACGTATATTTGACAGAACTAGAAGAACAGACTCGAAAAGCTCTGGAATTGGATCAGGAACGAAAACGAGCAAAAGAAGAAGCAGAAAGGCTAGAAAAAGAGCGTCGAGCTGCTGAAGAGGCCAAGTCTGCTATAGCAAAACAAGCTGCCGACCAGCTGAAAAATCAGGAACAGCTGGTAAGGAAGGCATTGTCTTGGTCTAAAAGAAAAATTCAAATAAATGGATGATACGAACCTCATGAAACTACATACAGTACCTTCTGCAATGCAAACCAGAGTTACTAAGTAACTTAGTAACAAAAGAGGAAAATAAGCCTAAAATTTTCAAAAACCCTAAAAATAAAACAGGATGAAAGGTATCTTTCTGTGGTCTATCCATTGCCAAGAAAAGATTCTCATTCACTTTGACTTTGGATGAATTCTGCAGGGAGCCCTCTGGCATCTCTTACATAAATTGACACAATATTTTTGGGTCCCTGAATGATAACTGTATGCCATAATTGATTGGATTTATTTATTGGCTGGACTTCTTTTTTTTTTTTTTTGTCTGAGACAGGGTCTCGCTGTGTAGTTCAGGCTGGACTAGAGCTCCCTTTGTAGCCCAGGCTGGCCTCAAACTCCCAGTGATCCTCCTGCCTCAGCCTCCCAAGTGCTGGGATTACAGGCATGCGCCACCATGCCTGACCTATTGGCTGGACTTTTAAGTACCGAGTCAGCAATGACACTTAGAGATGATTTTGGATTTAAATATTAGTTCAGGCATTTACTTGCTATATGTCTTTACATTTTATTCAGCCTCTCAATTTCCTCCCTTTGAAAAGAGGGATAATAGTACTTACTGGGTTGCTAAGGAATAGATGAGATTTGACAAAGTGTTGTTAAGCATTAATTTTAATTAAATATAAATAATTTTGTGTACTTAGCAAATAGTTTATTGGCAATAGTAGCTCCTAAGTGACACATTTTAAATTCCTGCTACTCAAGATTAACTAGTTGCCTATAGCATAATATTTTCTTTACTTTGTCTACTTATTAGCTCATTACCTGAGCTCATTACCTCAAGAACCTACTACAGTACTGTAAAAATAAACTACTTAGGACCTTCAAAGAATATTGCCTTTTTATTTTTTTTATTATTATTATTTTTTTCCCAGTACCGGGAATCGAACTCATGACCTCGTGCTTGCCAGGCAGGCACTGTGCTGCTGAGCTAAATCCCCAGCCCAAATACTGCCTTTTTAAAAATGGAAGAAGAAAAACAAGATAGCCTGGGTATATACATGAAAACTATTTAACTTGACATATTATTTTAGGCAGCAGAACTTGCCGAATTCACTGCCAAGATTGCACTTCTAGAAGAAGCCAAGAAGAAAAAGGAAGAGGAAGCTACTGAATGGCAACACAAAGTAATCATTTATTTGCTCATTTACTAGCTTTTTTGAATAGCTATTGTTGCCCATTAGTAAACCCAGCAATATGTGGACTTTATAGAGATGAATATCGGATTAATATATATTCATTACTTTGGGAATACAGAAGTGATTGATTTCTGTGGAAACAAGACAGGTATTGGGAACCCATGTGTATTTAAGCTGGGTCTTGACTAGTAAGTTAGATTTTGAGCCTGGAAAAGATGGAGGGTGGTTAGGCGTGAAGGAGGTGGTCATTCCAAATAGAAGGGAATTGAAAAAGTGTAGAAGCATGAACATACACGATACAGTTGAAGGCAATCAGTAAATGACCAAAAATATTGGGTATGTGGCTGGTAAGTTGAATTAGGGAATTGAGTTATGGAGGGCTTTAAATAATCTGCTAAGGCAAGGTGATCTGGAGTGTCCGTTGACGTGAGGCTCTGCAGATTGTAAAACAGAATTGTAGCATGCTGAGTTACGATTTTATAAAAATAACTTAGCAGTGGTGTGAAGGATGGTTGGGATATTGGACACTTGAGAAACAGAGACCCAAAATGATGTGTCAGTGAAAACAACAGAAAGAATTAGACAGTTTTGATAGAACTGAAAAGGGCATGACAACGAGTTATTGGACATGAAGTTAAATTATAAGGTTGCAGTGAGATTGAGATTTTTAATGGGAGTACATAAGGAAGTGAAGCCACTGTTGTCTGAAACAACCTGTGAGTGTGCTTTACACACTTCCATTGGAAAAGTGGGCATATTAGACCATAAGAATTTAATTCAAAACTTTAAATGACTCTGTGAGGTGGGGTCTTGCTGTGTAATTCAGTCTGGTCTCGTACTGAGTCTCGGCCTCCCAGGTGCTGGGATTACAGGCTTTCACCACGGTGTCTGGTTAAATGATACCAGTTCTTAAATGCAGATATCATTGTGTTTGCAGTATAATAATTGCATTGCATTTAAGGATGTGTAGTTATATACGGTTTTCTACACTAAAGTGTACTTAATGTGGAAAATGGTTTTCTTTGACTTGTAATTGAATTTTCTTTGTAGAGATTTGCATTTCATTGGGTAGTTTTTATGTTTTTCCTTAGTTCTACTTTGGCAGGATACATATGTTAGTCAATCAATCAATCAGTCACTACAGAAGGAATAAACAGTTGGGGGATGGTGGCATATACCTGTGATCCTACCACTCTGTTGCCTGAGCCAATGCAATCCTAAACTTGAGCCCAGCCTGGGAAATTTAGTGAGACGCTATCGCAAAGTAAAAAGAGCTAAGGATAGAAAAAAAGGAATAAAATTATGTCAATCACTTGAATATACTATTTCCATTAATAGAATTTTATAGATTTCATTTAAGGACGATTTATGGACTCGAGACAAACTTTTAAAAATAACAGCTACAGATTTAATTCTTGTAAACTGTGGAAAGTTAGAAAATGTACACAAAGGAATATTAATCTCAAAAACTGGAACAGTATTGTAAAACATTAGTTCATGTCCTTCCAGGATCTTTCCTGTCTGTGTGCATATTCTTACACATTTATATATTTAAAATGAGATCTTGAGATCTTACTGTATGTACAGTTTTACTTTAGCGAATTTTCATCTAATATTAGACTATCTTGAGAATTTCTGGTGAGACACAGATAGTTTAGCATCAAAGGAAGCACTTCTGAGAGTAAAGGGGGTGTTACTAGTATTTACATAGGACAGCTGAGCATGGCGGGAATGCCTGTAACCCCAGCATTTGGGAGGTTGGAGGCACAGGAGGACTGCTGTGAGTTTGTGGTCAGCTGGGCCACATAGCAAGTTTAAGACCAGCGTGAACTACATAGGGAAACCCTGTCTTAGAAAACAAAAATAAGCCAGAAAAGTTTACACTGGACAACTGTGTAAGCCAGGACAATATAATCACCCAAATCACTGATGAAGTTAGGTGTTTCACATTGGATCATTGCAGGAAATACTTCGTATCTAGGTAAGCCCCCATGAGTGATTTTAACTCATCATTGGATTACAGTAATAACAGTGATTCCTCTATCGTTTGATTATATTTAACGCATTTGGCTCAGATGTAATCTGTTACGTGTGGCAGTCTTCATTCTATTAAATAATTTCCCAGCAAGCATCTGCGTAACAATTTTAGCAATCGTGGGTAATCCTTGCCAGAACTAACAATTTTATTAGGATTTGCAAAGTAATAATTAAAAAAATTTTATTTCTCCTACTGGTCAGTATTTTCCAGAAAAATAGAGCTTTCTTTGGTACAGCCTATTTCATTACCCTGAAATGTAGTTTTTAATCCAGTAAGTAGGATAATTTGATTTTAATTGCCAGTTTTTCATAGTAAATTGCTTATAAACTTACTTTAAATATTCAGGCTTTTGCAGCCCAGGAAGACTTGGAAAAGACCAAAGAAGAGTTAAAAACTGTAATGTCTGCCCCACCTCCGCCTCCACCACCACCAGTCGTTCCTCCTACAGAAAATGAGCATGATGAACATGATGAGAATAATGCTGAGGCTAGTGCTGAATTGTCAAACGAAGGAGTACTGAACCACAGGAGTGAGGAGGAGCGTGTAACGGAAACACAGAAAAACGAGCGCGTGAAGAAGCAACTTCAGGTATGTAAAGTTTGCAATTGTGTGCACATTCAAAGTACAGTTTACATTTTCTCCACCTAAGTGAATGTGTTTCAGAAGGACGTAAGCTTTTTAGCAGTCTGTAACCCTAGCTGGCTTATGATAGATTTTTGAATGTTTTTCTTGTAGTCATTTCATTCCTTCTATTGCATGAGCATATTAGTAAATATTTGTTAACTAATGTAATTTAATTATTCTTTGACCTATTTTAAAATGCAGAAAGTCTTCCAGTGCTATTAGAAAGACAAATGAGTTCTGCTTTTAAACAGTAAAGTGTGCATTGAAGTGTGCAGTGGTATTTAATAGACTACTGTTAAGATATTACATAATACAAATTAGCCAGATTTTATAATGGCAAATATTTAGTTTATTAAATGTACATATAGGAAATTTTAACATTAGAACTTTTTTTCTAGATAAATTCAGATTTTTTATTTGGTGGAATTTTGAAGTATTAATAAAGAAAATGAAATGACAGCTATAATAAAGACTTTTGGAGAAAAAACTTACAGTAAAGATTTTAAAGTAACATTACTCTGTAATAACTACCTTGAACATTTTTAGACTCATTTTAAGTACTGGATGAGACAAGGAAATTTGAAATGTACAAAACACCATGGTTGGGTGTAGGAATGAAAGGCCATGGGTATTCTTCCTTAAACCAGAGGGTTATACACTTTAATGAAAACGACTTTAGAGTGGAAATTTCAGTGTACTGAAAGAGATTTGGTGTAGATATATTTGCATCTTTAAGCCATTTTCATATTTTTTTTTTTAGAGGAATAAAAGTTTCTTTAGCTCACAGTTTGTAGAGGTTTCAGTCCACAATCGGCTGGCTCCAAGGCAGCGGGGCGTGGCAGGCAGGTATTGCAGAGGAGAAGCAGTTGGTGGTGGGCACAAGGTAGCAAAAGCAACAAGCAAGGGGCTCATAAAATTTTTAAAGGAAAAAAATGACAGTTATACTTTTTATCTCTTAATATAGGCATTAAGTTCAGAGTTAGCCCAAGCCAGAGATGAAACCAAGAAAACACAAAATGATGTTCTTCATGCTGAGAATGTTAAAGCAGGCCGTGATAAGTACAAGACTCTTCGACAGATTCGACAAGGCAATACAAAGCAGCGTATTGATGAGTTTGAAGCAATGTGAGAGCTGTTATTTTGCATACATGTTCTTCATAAGCTGAACCACCAACAGAGAAAAGCAGGCCTTTGCGGATGTGATGGAGTGCATCCTACCTTGCCAAAGCACTTGTACCAGTTTGACTGCGGTGGCTACAAGACAGATTTAAGGAGAGCTCTTCGGCTTTAAGGCAGTGTGATGTCATGTCTGTGTTTCTTTTGGGCCAGGAAATTGACAACAGTGCTCCATTACCTCCATTTGCATTTCCATGTTTTGATTTTTTTTTTTTTGTTCGTGTTAACAAGTAACACTAATTATCATGTCTCATAAGTGTGTATGTGTGGTTTGAGCACTTTGTGCATTTTAAAGAAAAATGGTGACTGTTTCAGAGTGTTTAGGTCACTCAGTTTCCCCTTGCCTTTTCCACGTTTAACCTGCATAGATTTCCACATTCTCTCATGTTCTCAGTGTCCCCTTCCACGCTCCCATGCCCATAAGCCTGCTGTCATGCAGATCATTGGCAGTGTTTAAAATGATTGTAGGTGGCTGGGTGGACAAAAGTCTTTGATGATTGTATGGCAGATGACTGTAAATCGTGGCAGAGGACTCTAACAGAATAGTGTGTGCTTGGTGGTTATATTTTTAAATCCCAGTATAATTACATTATTGGATATTTGTTATTTGCTTATTGTCACCTTTGACAGCTAAGTTGATTACCGTTTCCTGTCCTGTGATTTTTTTTTTTTTTTTTTGGTGGTTTCCTTGCCGGCCACTTCACAGTGGTTGTAGACGGCAGGTAGTAGTTGCTAGGAGAGTTTACTGATGAGACTACTTGTAAACAGGTTATCTGTGAAAGATCCAGAAAACTTTGTTCTTTCATAGGTTGATTTAGAAAAGCAGATGTCTAATGAAAAACTGCATTTTTTGATAATTGATTGTAATCATTAAAAAAACAAATCTGGACCTTCCTGTGAAAACATCAGAGTCCCAAGATGAGTACAGTAATACTACCTCACTACTCCCCCTGCAGTGATTGGTTATTCAAACATGATGGATGTGTAAGCTAGTGTTTTATAATAGAGACGGTCTCAATCATGAAACAGTGCTTTTGAGATTTTATTCTCCTTCACAGTATCTTAGTGCTAATTTTTTAAACTGCCTTTTTGTTGAGCTGGAATGGTAGGGCTCTGATTTGTATTAAAATTATAAGCTTACACTGGTATATTTTACTGGAGGGGTGTCATATGTCTGAAGAAGAGTGTGTGTGTGTCTATGTAAGAGATGTAACCTTTGTAGTACATGAAGAATGTGTGTACCTTCATTTCTTGATACGATAGTTCATGATCCTTGTAGCATACTGTATTTGTTTTCTCCATCTCTAAAAAAATTGATTAATCCATTTTAGAAATTATAAATTCAGAATATATTAATTTCCATCATGTCTTACCTAAGAAGTCTTTTCCTGGATTTTCTAGTATTTTCTTTACTGTGAAACACCTGGATTTGAAGATATGAAAAGCCTTGTTTTCTCTGTGTGGTTCAGCTACTTTCCATTTGGTATTATGCACTCAAATTTACATTCTATTAAATTGCCATTTATTAAACATTTTTCATGCACAGTAGATTCAAGTTGTGTCTGAAAATATTTCACGCTTTTTTGATTTTGCTGACTCTAAAAGGATTAATCTGGGCAGACATAATGAAAAGGAAAGGTTTTGCTTAATATATTTTTTGGACAAAAGATAACTGGTTAATCTTGAAGTGACTGTTGTACAGTGGTTATGCACATGCTTCAAAATCCTACAGGAGAGAATGTTTCTACCTGCAGTACAGCACAGGGATAAAGTACAGACTTTGCTCTTCATACTTTGAAACACAAATGTTCACTTTTCCAAAGCGGTAAAGCAATTACCATAATAGGTGAAAACGTGGACGTCCATTGGATTTTCATTGATTTTCTTCATTTTGAATTGTGTGCACTACCATTGCTACATCAGCTTGTTACAGTGTTGGAAAATTACCAGTTATATTTGCTGTTTATAATCTATTTGTAGATTAGGATTAAAGGGGATTTAATCCATTTTTAAAGCTGTGTGAATTTTTCTAAACAGAACAGCCATTTGCATATGAATTTTCATAACTTTTTTCATTAGCAGTTGAGAGCACATGTCCATACAGCAATGTAAAAATTATACTAATGAATATTTGGTAAATTCCAATAGGTTTTTATCATTAGCATAATTTGTGTTGTACAATTAAGTTACAGTTACATCTCTAATTTTGGATAATATTCAGTGGTTAACAATAAAGTGACAAAAGCTCATGGCTTCAAGGTCCACTGTTGTTATTTAACATAGATTCCTTGTACATTTCCTGAAAATCATAATCTGTCAGAGCCAGGAATCATCACCTTAAACATGAGAAGTGGATAGGGAAAAGCTTTAGAAGTCTCAAAGATTTACTCTTTTCCCCAAATTATACCTCATTTACAATGGAAATAATAGTGACTACTTATGTGGAAAATTAAATCATTAAATTCACTGTTTTGACGACAGAAGGTAATTTAGGATTTCCCAGTCATTTTTATTGTATAGTTGCTAAGTTTGTTTTTCTTGAGGAAGATGCAGATTCATGATCATTGATTCATTTTTACTGTTAAAACTCTGATATTCTTCAAAGAATTATATGCTAACTGCAATTATTTAAATACATGCATTTATCATAAATGTAGAAGTGAATTGCCTTTTAAAAAGCATGTCACTAATTTTAACCAAGATTCTAAAAGTGATAAATCTTTTCCAAAAGTAATAAAAGCTGGGCATTTTCTCAGTTTATGGTAATACTTGTCACTAGTCTGTTTAATGGCAGATGGTCACTTCTTTGATCTTGTAAGAAAGAGGAATCTTTGTGTTGCTTTTTATTTAGAGTTCTAGATCCAGAATTACCATGTATAACATTAATTTACACTGTATTTGAACTTATCTTTAAAAAATGTGTCTTAATATTAGTGCCATGATTAAAAAAAAAAAAAAACTTGCCATGTTCTGTTCCAACTTTGACCACCTTGTAAAGTTGAGATGTTTTAGAAATAAAAACAAGATAAACTTTTTAGATCCCAAAGCATCCCACTGGATGCAGACACAGTGAAAACAACTCATCTGTTTAAAAAGTCTAAGCTTGATACTAACACATAGGAATTACTGACTTTAGGGTTGATGTACTGGACTAATTAGTAAGGCAAAGCTTAAATATCGTTAGTGTGGAAACAGTTGAATGTGGAGCTTTCCTGGTAGCTTCCTTTCCTACATTGGTTCTCAATGAGCAGAACTTTAGCATGTTATTTTTATACCTTCTTTTTAAACTAAAGAGAACCTATTTGTCAAATTGTAAATATTCTAAAGTGATAACGTCATGTAGAATGGCAATATCGCAGTACATTTTGAAAGCTCAAAACTGTAGGGTTTGATTACTTCATAAAAATGTCCAAGCCTCCCAGCTCCTGGGATGCTGAGGCAGGAGGATCACTGTAAGTTCAAGACCAGCCTGGGCTACAAAGTGAGTTCAAGGCTGGCCTGAACAGCATAGTGAAACCCTGTCTCAAAAAACAACAAAAAATATCCAAGTCTTCTGACAACATGCATTCTACACTGGTACACAGAAGAAAAATGGGCTCAAAATAGTGTCCCATGTATCATATTCTCATCATTTGCTTTTCTAATTAAATGAATTTTAACTCCCACTTTTTCCTTAGTAAATCTATTTAATAAAATGTCCATTTTTCAAGAATTTAAGAGCTGCTATTTTTCTCTCTGGAAAAATCATGACTGTTTTGTCTCCTCCATACTATGCCCTATAAGTTCTGTGGTATAAGAGTTTTCTGATTTGGGATTTTATATTTATTACTGCCTTACGAGTTTAAGTATATATCCACTATTTGCTATCGAATTTTAAAGATCCATCCTTTGAATGGCGCATCTTTTGAATTCAGGTTTATATTTGGCTCTGGAGTTCCCTTGAAAGTGGCTGTATTTTCTTACTTAAAAACTTTAGCCAAAAATGTTTTTATTAAGAGCTTGTTATTTTTGAGGACTCAGAAGCAAGATTAGAATGACCATTTTGGCCATTTTAAAATATGGACTGCAGATGTTCACCTTAGCTTTTACTTAGATCTTTTGCGTTTATTTACACAGTATCAGAGATCTTTCAACATGGCAGAGCCATATTGTTGATTCATGTTACCTGTATGCCCAGATTCCTCCATGCTTATTGGCTAGCCAGTTGCTTCCATCTGTGAAGTTTATTATTTTTATTATCATACTCTGATGGTTCACTTTTATGATTTTAAAAATTTGGATTCATTTTCTTATGCATGTCATCACCTTTGAAAATAGTGGCACTGGCTTTAGTTGTTTTTTTTTAAATCTGTCAACACAGCTAAATGTCCATCATACTGGCAATATGGCATCCAAATTTCTAAGATTTATGTGACTATCCTTGGAAAAATTCCTTCTGATAAAACATAGATTATGGGTATGTCATGATAGTCATTTTGATTTTTTTAACTGAAATGTTTTATCTTGTTTTATACTTAGAAATGCATATATTTCTCAGAATAAGGCAGTTTCTTTTCCTTTTATATATGCTGTAAAGTCTGTGAAATTCAAGTCTAACAACTGAAACATGCAGTAGTTCCACTTATGTAATTATTTTTAAATTCTACCTGCTTTGACTAAAATACATGGTTGTGTAATGAAGGAAACTACAAAAAGGGAAAATCAACACCAAGAGTGAGCGACAGAACATGAATGCATATGCAGCATGGGTCTCTAGAGTGTGCTTGTTCTCTACGAAGGTATTACAGGTCACAGGTCAAATTCTAAACGTGGGTTAGTATGTACTGAAAGGTAAAGTCACTAAACAAGTTTTCCTAGTGTTGTAGGAAGACTCATTACTACAAGAAATCAAGGATAGTAATTGGTGATATCCGTAGTAAATGTTGAGAAGTTTAGTGGAGGTAGTTTTC